TATTTTGTAAGACATGTTTTTATAATTTTACGATACAAAATATTATTTACCCTTTGTTTCTAATTGAATGCGTTGTTATTGATTAAATTATTTATTTTTGCCTGCAGTCATAGCCATACGAGTGTTTGTCGGTCGGTCACGTGATCAAGGGGTTTTGCACCGACGTCAGAGAAACGGAGCTGGTGCCGACCAGTCTATGAGGCTACTAATGATCCTCATCTCTACTACTGCATTCAAACTCCCTTCTTACGTGTTTGAAACGTCTTTCCAGCGGCATTTACTGACTTAGTTCCCACTCGCCGCGTCCTATAACAGAGACGATGTAGGAATGTAAACTGTGTTGGAAATGCTCAGGGACCGTATAGCGTATGTTAAGCACCCAGCTCGCATTAAGACAGTAAGTGTACGGCTCACGTAAATGCAACGAGCATGTCTCCGCGCTAAAGAAAACAACTGGTGGTGTTCTGTTGCGTTCAACTTTCAGGTAAGTTGGCTGAAAAAGTAACAACAACACAATGTTTTGTAACCCGTAATGACGCGTGTGGTACTCCGCAGTGAGTGTATGGTGGCCTTATTGTACCATTTAATCTGTTTAGCGCTATCACTACTATGTTCCCCAAGGGACGCATTTTGCGGGGCAAATGTTCTGTGTAAGTATACTATAACGCTGGCTTCTTATTTCTTGTATTTGGAGAAGAAGTTCATATAGCCTGTGCTGCTGCCAGTTTGTCGTTAATCAGTATTGTTGATGCTATCTTTCCTGTCTGTGTCAACATCTGCTCACACATTTTGAACAGGAACTAGTTGAAAATGTCTAAAGATGTTAAGACTCTAGTTAGCATGTTTTTGCTGACAGTATCACGTGACTAACTAATTCATGTTTATACTTGTGTGTCTTGTACTGTCATGATAATAGCATTTGTTTCCTCATCGTTGTGACATTGTTTTTCTTCAAATAACTTGGATACACTGATAACTTAATAGGAGGAGTTTAATTTAACTAACGTTACACTGCAGAGAGAAATAGGGCAAACTGAGAATCCAGGTTGTGTTTGTTGCTTACATGTGCAAATCAGGCACGCTGGCTTGCTATGAAGATCTTTGGTTGTTGTTCACAGAGCTCCATTGTTCTGGTTTCTGTGTGTAGTGTGCAGTCCATTCAAGAGGCTGAGTGCCTCATCAGCACGCCATAGCTTTAATGCATGGGGTTCCCCAAAGAAGGCAAGTGCACTATGGGACACTAGTTGCATTATTGCAGTGGTCCTAGCATGACAGAGGACCCATTTGCTGACCTCTCATCAATTTCATGCTGTGAAGGGACCACGATATACCAATCTCTAAAGTCAATATCGGAAGGCCTCCATCAATACACATCTGCATTTTCTCATGAAGTATAAGTGCATGATGGAAACATTTATGAGTGGGTAGTACTTAGTAAGGGTGTGTACTGCACTGTGATTGCTGTGGATATAGCAGGATAAGGAAGGGCTGTGATTAGGCTTGCTGGCTTTGGAGTGTGTAGGTGCTAACATTCATTTAGCTGAATGCAGTTCAAGGTTTAATATATTGCACCACCATGTTTGAGGTGTATATTGTCTAAGAAGGAAGTTGCCAGAGCAGTTTTGGCTGTTGCACTGGGACTATGATGAAGTAACCATATAAGTTAATGACTGCAGTTAAGTTTGAAATTGGTTAACATGAAAGCTTACAGCCTTATCACTTTAATAGTTAATGTGGCCTTTTTTTTAAATGGACAACCTTTATTTTTGTATCATGCATGCATCACCAGTCACTTCCCAATTAGTATTACACAAGGGTAACAGTAACTCTTTGTTTGCTATTATTTGTCATAGGCTACTTACTTGGCAACTTGTGTCATAATCTTTCCTTGTTAAGAGATTAAATGAATGTAAGAACTGACGGAGACACGATATTAGTAAGTCTTGCTATGGTTTGTTAGAAACAAGGGTAAGACGTTGAATTTGGTGCACTGTGGTAGCACTAAAATGGCATCCCTGATAGTAGCGTCATTTGAATAGTGAAGTTGATCTTGCTTTGTGTCTGATTATCTTTGTGTCTCATATGCAAATGATTAGGGGTTAACTGTCAGCTGTTAAATGTAATCAGTTATCGTTGTAGCAGCTTAACGGTCAGTAAAAGGAGCCAACTTGTGACCTGGTTACTATTGTGAATGTGTGATGCTGTCGCCATCCACAGCAGCTTCTGGTGCACGTTTTAATTGAGGCATGTGATCCATGGCTGCTTCAGAAGAGCAGGTTGAAAACGTTTCTGCTGACTGTCAAGCATTTCGTCACTAAAGGATGTTGTAAAAGTTAAAAAGTGCGTGTGTGTGTGTGTTTGTGTGCTAGGTGTGGTGGCAAGCCCATGGAGAAGCCGTCATCTTCAGACAGAGCAGCGCTGGAGGAGAGAAAAGGCCTGGTTGAGGTGAGCAGCTCACTCATTAACTGGGTCTGAACTATATGTATTAAATGGTTTAATTTAATATATGAGAGAAACATTTTTCAATGAAAGGAAATGCATGTTTCCAAACTCACTTTGGGGATATGTGTTTTTGCAATTGTGGTCGCACATTTGTTATAAAGAGCTGAAAACAGACCTTTTTTTCACAGCAGACATTTTGACTTTGTCATAGTCGAAAAAAGCACAGGTGGAACCAGTTACATTAACGATGGCTCCGTTCCATCCAAGTGCCCCAGTAAGCCTTTCCAGTGAACCAGCATGAAAAATAGCAGGTACTGCTATTCTCAATGAAATGCAGTTGTTATCAAATGTTATTGATTACACCGGTGCTCTTCCTATTATGTTGTTGAGCTTCCTGACTCATTATGTCTGTTAAAGAGGAACTCTGGCAACTTGACACATCATCATCTGTTTGCAGGTCTTTGGTGGACAACAGCATATGTAGGGAAAAAACTGTACAAAGCTTTTTGTGACCCCGGAAGGATAACTTTGCTGGATATCTGATAATTTGTGTGTTAATTTTGTGATGTCAATTGTCATGACGGTTGGGGCTCAAGTTTGAAAGTGAAAAAAGTCTAGGGGCATTGAGTTAGAAACAGTGTTATAGGACTGCGATGCTAAATCGGATTATAGTAGATTATAGATTATAGATTATAAGATTATAGTAAGGGTAGGACTGTCCCATTTCCCTTCCTGTTTCAAATGCCTTGGAGAATGCAAATTGACTCATTCACTGTGTGTGTGTGTGTGTGTGTGTGTGTGTGTGTACTTCAGGATGGTGGGGCGCTGAGAGGTGCTGAGGGTGGAGAGGTGGATCCTCAGCCGCTGAGGAAGAGCAGCTCCTCTCGCTCCTCCCGCAAGAGCTTCCGTTTAGACTACCGGCTGGAGGTAGTCCTGTCCCCTAAAACCTCCTCCTACCTGAAACACACACGTTTGCACCACCTCCTTCCACCGTCACCTCAGCTCAAACCTCCATAAACTCTTAACACTCTTATAAATGGCTAAAATGTAATATTTTGATTGCAGGAGGATGTGACGAAGTCCTGTCAGGACAAACATGGCCGCTGGACCAACCCCTGGCCCACATGGCGGTTTCCTTCCTACACCACCATGCTCAGGTTCATTTTGTTGGATAAAAATCACAGCAATGTACCTACTAGTAAAGAGGTAAGTAATTATTAGACTAAAATTTTATAGTTTGTTATTAACTACAGTTTTGGCTTTGTTCCATAATATCACCAAAAAGTCTGTGTGTACTGTATGTACTATGTATTGTTTGTCTCAACATTTTAGCATCATGACCAACATCATGCCAGAAAAGAACAAACAGCAGAATTTTCCCCACCATCAAAAGAGCTGGGGCGCAGCGCCTAAGGGTGTTTTCACAGCACCTAAGCCAAATAAACAGCATTTTATTTAATATATTTATTTAATGCAATTGTTAAGATAGTCCATTTAAGTACTTTGGATGTGTGGTTTTATTTCATTTATGATTTATTTAGTCATGTAAAATTGTCTTAAATCATATCTTTTGTCGCAATCATTTCTGGGACAATATATCGTCCAACAAAAGTAGTTATCGTGAGAGACTTAAGTGTATATTGTGGATGATGTAGAGCACAACTTCACCTTAAACTTAAACACTTTTAAAAAGCTGTAACACAATAAATTTTGTTATTGCAGAGCACAGAAAGTGTTGACTTTCACACTTAAATTCACTGGTTAAATTGATACTGACTACTGTGTAAAAGTCAGATATCCAATGTGTTCAAGCCAGTGTATGCTTTTACGTGTATTATCCTTTATAGTGATCAGAATAAGGGGTTCATATACAGAATTTCCCACCTGTGTTAGTAGGAACATTGCCACCACTTTCACAACCCACAGAGTATTTATAGCTCCCAATGGAAACCTTACTGAGCTCAGTAGATTTAGCAGGCATCAAAGGCTGCTTTCACACAGTAATCGAAAAATGTTTAACCCCTTAACTGCACAGCAGGGTGCCATTTGTGTAAAAAATTGATTTTTTTTTCACTCTTCATGCAGCTCCGACAGAGCCAAAGTAGTGCATTTTAAAATAATATTAACCCTAACAAAACTACGGATCGAGATAGTGAATTGGATTTCATCATTCTGAGGGGGGGGACAAAAATTATTCATAAATCCTGCAAGCAGCAACGAAAACAGGTTAATTCCTGTGTTTAGGGGAGCAAACAGTGCCGCAGTGTATCATTTGCAGAGTAGAAAGCTGTGACTCAGTTATTAGGGTTCGATTCATTTTATGATCAGACGAAGTTGTGAGACAAACATTCTATTCCTCATGATCAGTGTGCGGTTGTTTTTTCTCCTTTTCTCTCTCCCTTTCTCCTACTGTATTCACCACTCTTCCTCTCTCTGTGCGACTCGTGCTCATCATCATCTTATCCCCCTACCCTTGCTCTATTTCTCACCATCTCTGTTCCCATAGGCTCTGGATAGGGAACTCCCAGTGATGGAACCGTACTTCGTCCAGAACCCAGACCTCTCTGACTCTGGTCCAGGTCTGAGAGTCACCTGGCTGGGTCACGCCACGGTTCTGGTAGAAATGGACGGGCTGAATATTCTGACGGACCCAATTTTCAGCCAGAGGGCCTCACCATTCCAGTTCATGGGGCCCAAAAGGTACCGAGGCCCCCCCCTGCACTGTGGAACAGGTTTAGTGCTTTTTGTTTTTAATTTTCTAAAGTAAAGATCTCCATCACAGTATTTGATCCATGCCTTGTTTCTTTGGCTGCTTCCTTGCTACCTGGTTACATTTTTTTTATATCCTCCTGCCAACAGCTTCCCAGGATCGATGCTGTCGTCATCAGTCATTCTCATTATGACCATCTGGATTCGGGATCTGTGGCCAGCCTTAATGCACGCTTTGGAGGGGAGCTACGCTGGTAAGTGTGGTGGATGTGTTGTCAACAGTAATGATTTGACACCCACAGTCTTAATATTATTTATTAAGTGTAGTGTTCAGTTTACACTCTTACAAAGTCATAGTCACATGTTTTTTATGTTGAGTAAGTCCAAGTGTGTTTCACAGGTTCGTGCCCCTGGGTTTGATGGACTGGCTGGCGAAAATGGGCTGTGAGAACGTGATGGAGCTGGACTGGTGGGAGGAGAACTGTGTCCCGGGTCATGATGACATCACATTTGTCTGCACACCCTCTCAGCACTGGAGCAAACGCACTGCGCTGGACGATAACAGGGTAAGAATTCATTACAATTATTAGAGTTTACCTGTATGTGTAATATATGTATTAATTCATACCTCCATACCAAATGTGTAAAGTCCAATAGCTGGTGCTCGAGGATTTTTTTTCAGTAATCAAGTAGAAAAGGGCAGTTTTAAAATGTTTTTATTAAGTTCAAAGCATATTCAGTACATAACCAGAACTCTTTTCCTCTCAGTCTTTATGGGGAAGCTGGTCTGTTTTGGGTCCGGACCATCGATTTTTCTTCGCTGGTGACACTGGCTACTGCACTTCCTTCCAGGAAATTGGACGACGCTTTGGACCGTTTGACCTCGCAGCAATCCCCATTGGAGCTTACCTGCCCAGGTCCTGTACATATTATTATGATTATTATTATTATTATTATTATTTAGTGTTTATTTTGAATATGTGTAAAAAAGAGACAAAATACAATCAAATTAACATATCAAAACGATTAAACAATACAATAATAAATACATTTATAATATTTACAGCCAAAGAAATTTTTTAAACTCTTGTCAGTTTCTTAACATATTTCAAAAGGAGTGGGAAGAAGGTACACCTGTACAATCTAATGGAACTGTTCCGCCATAAAGTCTGTTTTTAAGATGCCTCTCTGCCCATTTTTAGTCAAGACTGTCAGGTGTAATTTCAATTATATGTTCTAATATTGAGGTCATAGTTAGGGACTGCACTGTATTGAGGCATTTAATATTCTGCCCCCCTCATGTTGTAGTAACACCTCAATATAATGTAGTCCAGTGCAACACCACCTTTAACTATGAGCTCATTAATAAACATAATTGAAGTTAAAATTTCAGACAATGTCAACAAACACTGAACATTATTAACTTTGTAGAATTTATGGCAGATGGATTGCATTAGATTGTACCAGAAGCCTTACAGAGGGGCCACTGTCCTTCCTTCTGTGACAGATCAAATTTAAATACTGGACAACTGTAATTTTTTTTATTGTTACTGTATGTAATAATATGAATTGGCATTGAAAGTTTTAAAAGACCATGCACAGCCACTGTTACAGAGAAAACCATGGAAGACTATATTGAAATCTTCTTTGGTTTAGCAGGGATGTGATGCGGGGGCAGCATGTAGATCCAGAAGAGGCTGTCCAGATTCACCAAGACCTTCAGGCCAAACACTCTGTGGCCATTCACTGGGGAACCTTTGCTCTCGCCTATGAGGTAGGGAGTACATACATATTACTTAGATATCTGACTAATTGATTATTTGTGTGTGGTTTAAAGGAATTGGTTTGGGCTGTACGCTTATTGGCTTTCTTTCCAAGTTAAATTAGAAGATTGATACTCATAGCTGTCCATTCAATATGTAGCTGGAGCAAGCAGAAGATTAGCTTAGCTAGGAAACAGCCGCTTTGTCAGACGGAAACTAAAGTTCACTAATTGTAAAATATAAGTGTGTTAAACGGTTTTGCGGGTGTTATGTGCTAGACTATTGCTGCGTTGGCAGACTGCTTGGAACTGGGTTGAAAAATCTGACTTCTGACCTCCAAGTATTCCAGGTGCATGACGCCGAAAGTGAACAAAAAACATAGCTGACCATGACAAACTCTTTGTCAAGTGTACACAAAGTTGCACCCTCAGCACTGCCCTTGATGTTAGGATGGCTGTTTTATTGAAAACAAGTTACATAAATAGCCTATACGTTATTAGTTGACTGTGTACCGGTCTAGCTACATCAGTTAGTAATTCTCAGTCAGCTAATGTTTTAGGCTATATTTTCTAATGTTTTCAAATGTTTTGGCATTTCTTACATTTCACTGAATAACGTTTGTGCAGAGAAGATGACTTAGATTCTTTAGTCACCTGCTTGCTTCAGCTACACTTCAAGGTCTGGTGATAGATCAACATATCATTTTACAAGAAAACTTGCCTTCCACCCAATTATTGGCACATTTCACTGTGTATTGATAACGGACAGATATGAGAGTGGTACCAATCATCTCATCTAACTCTTGGCAAGAAAGTGAATTTCCTAAAATGTTAAACTTTTGCTTTAACACACAATGCAATTAAAGTGCAGTCAGTTTCCAGTTTATTAGCTAAATCAAATGTAGTCTACAACAGTCCTACCTTCATAAAAGGTTATAATGGGTGAAAATTTTTAAGAGGCGTTGATTCAACTTTCAGATCATTTTGGAGGGTGCAATTTGGGGTTCTGTGGAACTGTATTGCATTATTCTGACAGGTGTTTCTATTATTTTTTCCACCCCATTTCTATTAATGAAGGCAGGCTAATAGAAACACCTCTTTATAAAGCACCACAAACTACAGCCTCCAAAAATGATCAGAAAGTTCTCTCTGAAAAAGTTCATCTAAAGCTCAACATTAACACCTTAATGAAGGCAAGGTTTATTGCAGACTGTATTAGACTGCATTAGTGTTAACTAGGTGTACCTAATAAACTGGCAACTGTTGTGTGTATGTTAGGGTGCTGCTAGGAGGATTCAAATGTTTTAAACACATTTTGCATTGTATTAAATATAGCTGAAGCGTTAATAGTCATGGTCATTACAGTAGCCCACAGTGATGCTCTGTGTGTTACTGCTTTCAGAGACAGGCAAAGTGTGTGTGAGGTTAAAAAGTGCTGACACTATTATGTTCTGATAACACAATGTAACAAAAGGTGTCATTGTTTTTTTAAGCTGCATGATTATTTCAGCAGCTAACACAGTTTAATGCAACCTCTCTCTCACTGCCACAGTTAGAAAATTAGGGACGAGCTGACAAAAACCTGTCAAACACTCAAACTTGCAGCACTGTGCTAAAATGAACCTGTCCTGAAGTATTGTGACACTCAAGAATAGTCTTTAATACTCACTTTTTCTGTGGTCCCTCCTTGAATCAGTACTACTTGGACCCGCCGGTTCGTCTCAGAGAGGCCCTGGAACAGAACGGGCTGAAGCCAGAATCCTTCTTCACTTTGCATCACGGGGAGTCTCGCCTTATAGTGTCACAGAAAGGAGACTTCTTCTGATCCTCTCTGGAGCGTTTTGTTGTGTCTGTAATAAAGTGCAGCACATTTTGTTAATCATATATAAATGGACTTCAGTGATTTAATTTGAAATGCATATACGTATGCAGCTTATCCCAACTGAAAACAGGAAATTCAGATGTTCATCAACTCTGTTTACATACTGAATGTTTGGCCTGCCATCATCATGGTGGGCAGTACTGCCTACACGAGCTGTGAAGGCTCCAAGAAAAAAAAAAACAAGAAATCTGATTCATTAGATTTACTCAAATATGTGTGTGTAATTCTTTCAGGCAAAGATCAGCTATTCATAAGATTTAAACTCAGATGCTAAATGTTGACATCAGCACATACTGCTGTACAGCCAGTGTTGTTACAGTGTGGTTAGTATGCATTTCAAGTAACGAATAATTCCAATTAATATGGTTTTTATCTGTGTAATGCTGAGGGATAAAAAAACCAAAACTGGTGATGGTCCCATGTTACTTTAATACCAGTACTCTTGAATGGAGAGAATGGAGATCAAGTTTGTAGGAAACAATGTGGGGTTGAACCACAAACCTTCAGTATGAGGCTGGACTGGAGACTACACAGTGTGATGTAGCTTTCTGCTGTGAGCTGCAATATAGAAGAGAAAACTAATTAGAACGTTATTTAGAGTAGTGATTTTTGATGATTGGTGCTAGGTAATGCCACATTACAAAGGCTTTTTTTCTGAATGTGCTCTGGCCATCCCAAAACAACATAAGATGCAGAAGTGTCTTTTTGTACTTTGTATCTATACCGTTGTATGCTAATAGAAACTGCAGAAGTTGAGCTGGGTTCAGCTTCATGCACTGCAAATATTGTGCACTGTTCCTGCTTCAGACATTTCCCTCCCCCCCGCTTATCAGCGTTATCAGTCACATTTTCACTTGTTGAACAGATGTATTTGCCTTAGAGAGAAAAAGTAGAATAATCTTACTGATCAACTGTTCAAGTGATTTTATTTTTCAATGCTGTATCTTTAAAGCCAGAATGTACGAACAGTTGACGAGCACAATGTTGAGTTAATTTAGTAGCCTGGTTATAACTACAAGGCCAGCCAAACAGTGCTAACTGGTTTACATTTGACCATGTTACTGAATTAACTATTAAATATACATTGCATTTGAAATGTTTGTTTCTTGTTGTCAACAGTAATTTGGAGTAAGACTTCCAAACCCAAGACAATCTTACAGTTGTTTGTTTTTATGAACCTAGATGTATGGGGGGGAAAGTTTAGGCAGTCACATAACATTACTTTAAAATCCATTTAGTATAGTTTTGTTTACTATTTAGTATACTATTTGACTATTCTGACAGTATTTGACTCCATTTTGTCCTGAGGCAGTAAAGCCTACACATCCAATCCTAGCAAGTAGTGCAAATACTGCAGGTTATTAGGGTTCATACCGTGTAGCGTACCTTCTATGTTTGTGTGTTTTAGTTATTATTATTATTATTATTATTTGTTGTCTGCAGCGCCGGCTCAAATTCCCGTGAGCTGGAATGAGCTAGAAACATGAAACTTGCAGGAATAACTGGAAATGGTGTGAATCAGCTTCCATAGAAAAATGAACCCAATCGGCCACATGGTGGCGCTATAATTAAGGCTTAAAAATGCAAACTTTGAAAGGCCACGCTCCTTACACCGTAAGTCCGATTGACTTGAAATTTCTCACACAGGTGCAGCTCAATGTGATCTACAAAAAAGCCTCAAGGATTATTAAGGTCCGCCTATAAAATTTTTCCGCCATTTTGAAAATCATATTTTTGACATCTCCTCCTAGACCGTAGCTCTGATTGCCACCAAATCTTGAGTGAATCATCAATGGATCAAGCCTATTAAAAGTTGTATAAAGCATGTCGATATCTCAATTACTTTTCAAGATATGGACCAATGAACTTTGTAAGGGGCGTGGCTCTGGACATACATGACCACAAATCAGCAACCGTAGGGCCGATCATCACAAAACTCACAGGATATGTTCAGATAGGTGCCTCGGATATACCTGGACAGTTTGATGTACATACGTCCCTAGGGGGCGCTACAAGTGCAAGAAAGGTGCTTAGCATTACACAAATTACACTATAAATCCCATATTCATTCTCCAATCATCACAAATCTCTCAGGATGTGTCCTCATAAGTAAATGAAACATGCCCTGAAAGTTTCATTCAAATTGAACACTAGGGGGTGCTACAAATGCAACAAACTGCAGGGGATAAAATGCAAAACAGGCTACAAAATGCATTTTGTTTGTCCAATAAACACAAAACTTGCAGGATATGTCTAGATAAGGACCTCGCGCTTACACTGCAAGTCTCATTCAAATTGACCACTAGGAGGCACTACAAATGCACAAAGGAAGCTATTGATCATAAAATGTTTGTCCCATCCAGTGGTGCTACCAGGGGGGACCATGGCCACCCTAATAAAATTGGTGGCTACCCCAGTGGACCCCCCTGGTGAGGAGTATATGCATAAAATGCTTTATACTGTACATATGGGCCAGACGGTGTGTCTCCATCCTGCCTGAAAATCTCTTTCAACAGTTCACTGGAGCTGTGTGAAGTTCCCTCCTGCTTCAAACGTTCCACAATCATCCCGGCCCCCAAAAAACCTTCCATCTCTGGATAAAATGACTACAGGCCTGTCGATCTGACATCTGTAGCCATGAAATCCTTTGAAAGACTGGTGTTCGCCCACCTGAAGGACATTACAGGCCCCTTGCTGGACCCCCTGCAGTTTGCCTACAGGGCTAACAGGTCAGTGGATGATGCTGTCAACTTGGGACTGCATTACATCTTGCAACACTTCGAGTCTCTAGGGACACATGCAAAGATTCTGTTCGTGGACTTGAGCTCGGCGTTCAACACCATCATCTCAGAAATCCTCAGCACCAAACTCACCCAGCTCACTGTGCCAGCCTCCACCTGTCAGTGGATCACAAACTTCCTGACTGATAGGAGTCAGCAGGTGAGGCTGGGGAACATCACATCCAGCACCCGGACTATTAGCACTGCCGCTCCCCAGGGATGTGTGCTCTCCCCATTGCTCTTCTCTCTCTACACCAACGACTGCACCTCAGGAGACCCATCTGTCAAACTCCTGAAGTTTGCTGACGACACAACGGTCTATCTCAGTGCTGGTCACACTGTTCATACTGTTATATTGTCATATTGTATATACTGTTTACCAAACCCACCTACCTCAAGTACATAACACCTGCACATAATACTTATTCAATCCAGCATCCTTTGCACTATGCTCCATCGCACTATTGTCTCAGTCTTTCTTATTGTTTCTTATATTGTTGTTGTTTATAGTGTGCATATATGTGTTCTCTACACTGTAGCCTGCGTTTGATTTTATTATTGTATTATTGTATAAGTAAGTGCATGGTGAGCAATGTACAATCCAGAGTCAAATTCCTCCTATGTGTACACATACCTGTCAAATAAAACTCTGATATTATGTAACTTCTGTGTTTGAGTTCAAATGTCTTAGCAGCATATAGGTGTTGTCATATTAGCCTCTGTCACTTTAAGAGGGTAACCTCTGACCCTGAACTGTGATGGATCATGGTTGTTTTTTTAAGAGAGGCCTCCGATTCGTTCATGTAGATGCCTGTCACCTTTCTAAAATTGTGATTGGTTAAGGGGCGGGCCTAACAGCCAGAGCTTCCAGCGTGTGTTTTTCTCTGGAGGTAACTTAGCCACAAGCTGCAGCAGACAGAAAGGTGTAATTTAATAATTATACAGACAATCAGTAGCCTGGCTGGTTTATAATAAGTTTATCAATCTGCTACACAGTTTTGTGTACTGTACTGTGTGAGAGCCGTGCTAGTCTGCAGATAGCAACAGGTTAGCAACATCGCTAACAGCAAGCTAAAGTTAAACGGACAGTGTCTTCACTGACAGCGCCCCGCCTGACCTGATAAGCACCTCTGGCTTTGAGGGAGACCATCCTGTACCTGTCTTCATCTTCATCTTTCTGAGAGGATTGCAAAACATGACACCAGCGGGAGTTATCTGGAAGATGCTGGGAAACTGAACTTACTTTAAAGGGTTAAACATGCTGGCCAACAAACAGGTGGAGGAAAAGGCTACGAGCTCAGCTATGGTCGGATCGTAACTTTTATTACACTCTGTGGAAAATGTTAAACAACACTGCGGGGCCGCAACGAGTCTGCGGGCTCTCTGAAAACTTCAGTCCTCCAGAAGTTTGCCCAGAGGAAAAGCCGCCCGCTTTTCTGCTGAAGTGAGCCTGCTTTGGTGAGTGAAGCATCGTTAATCATCGTGACGCTGTGCTGCTGCTCCGTGTATGGGACAAACTGTCGTGCTGGATCGGTTGATACCAGGCTATGGATTGCGCTTGTTGTCATGTAGCCGCTTTCATGCTGCTTTATTATCCGCGATTATATTGGCCGCTGGCTGCGCTGGATGACAGGTAAGGAGCTAGGAGTGTAAATGATCTCTCTCTCTCTCTGTGTGTGTTTTGTGGAGCCATGCTGTTTGTTGACATGTTAGAAACACAGTAGCGAGAGAGTATTGTAGTTTTACTGGTATTTTTTTTACTGGTTAATAATACTAGTATTTACATATTATTTCAGTTAAATTATTATATAGTCTAATATGAAAGAAAATTATTAATGCTCCGTGATGTCTGTAATCCTGAGTGGGCTTGTTCCCAGTAAATGTTTTGTTCTTTGCAGTCAGTGCTCTCCTACAAATAAAAGCTGTAGTTGTTTTTTAAGAAAAAGGTCAACTAGCGTATTTGAAGAACTATTGCCCAACACATACAGATACATTATAACAGGATTTTTATGGCCGCTTGCCATAATGCAAACACATTTTTTACATCTCCTCCTAGACCGTAGCTCCAATTGCCACCAAATTTTCTCTGGATCATCATTGGCCTTAGCATATATAAAGTTGTATAAAGCTTGTTGATAGCTCCTTTCGTTTTAAAGATATTGACCAATAAACATGTAAAGGGTGTGGCTCAGGACATAAATAGACAAGAATCTGCAAGCGTTGGTCCAATCATCACAAAACTCACAGGATATGTCCACATGAGTGCCAGAAATATGCCCTGACAGTTTCATTCAAATCGACCACTAGGTGGCGCTTTAAATGCATCGTAACTGGATGTGTAATGATACAAATCAAGCTATAGACCAGAAAATGGTTGTCCAGTTGTTACAAAACTTGCAGGATATGTTTTATAACAATGTTGAACCGTATGTGTGAAATTATTTTGATAGCGATATTGCGAAAAAAGGTATGAACCCGCTAATCGCCGCTTGCGGCTATATTTTTCATTGACATTGAATCCTCAGCGCCACTCGCTTTGATTCAATTATTAACAATTAAGTGGGTATTTTACATAAAAAAATGGAAATGAGGCAAAGATATTCTGGTCTTTTGATTTTTATTGACTTGAGTGGTTAAATATGTTGGCTACATTAACACTGCCAGAGTTAGTGGTTGATTCCCTCCAGTGGTGTATGTAACACCAAAAGTACAACTTTTAACTGCACTTAAGTACAATCTTGAGGAAGTTCTTTTACACCACTACATTTTGGACACCAGTACTGTACTTTACTCCACTACATTTGTAATTAGTTACTTTGCAGATTAAGATTAATAATCCAAAATATGGACTAACTAATAAATTCTAATGTCTTATTACAGGTTAAGCTATCTGGCAGTACATGAAGTAGGTGAAATTAGCAACATTATTGATACTTACACATGGATCACTAATTATAATAAACATTTTAGTGAAATGGGCCATTTTGCTTGAGTACTTTTGGTACTTTAAGTAGCCTAAATTTGGTGCTAATTCTTTTACTCAAGTAAGATTTTGAATACAGGACTTTTACTTGTAACAGAGTATATTTACACTATGGTCACTTGAGCCCTGACACCCCTGGTACCGGGGGCAGCGAGAGATTTTCACACAATGCCGACTGAGAAATCCATGTGCGATTCTTGTATTTCGTCAACCTTTTCCATGTTACACACCTCCATGAAGCTAGGAGGCTCAGCTAGAATCTAAAAACCAACCATTTTTATCCAAACCACATACACATCAAACACCAAGCATCTAAATCAGCTTATATCACAA